CTCAGTTGCGGCGGTACTCAGTTGCGGCGGTACTGGTCAAGCTTTGTTTGAAAAGTGTCCACGGATGGGGACACAGTTGGGGCTCGCCATCACTGTCCAACGACGTCTCATAAACCAGAAAGGAGAATTCTTGTCTCTGTTTTAGGCAATGTTCTTCTGTTTATAATGATACCCATAGTGCGGCTGCTGGGAGCAGACGGCTGTAAAGTGAGCTCCAAGTCAGAATGGAAAAAGGGGTTCCCGTAATCGATTGCTTAACGCAAATTCATAAGTAATCAATGTTATACCCGATCAAACTGGCAAGACAGCGGACCCCTTACCTAATGGGTTAGAGCCGGGGTCGGCAACCTTTCTGAATCAGAGAGCCAAGAGAGCAAATATTTGGAAAAATATATTACAGTGAGAGCCGTATGATATATTTTAGAATTAAATTCAATTGAATGTGCCTATAATAATCCTCTAGATTTATTATATTGAATAATGTTCTTATAATATTCATTGGTAATGTCAGTTCTGGCGCTGAATGGATTCGCTGATGGCTTTGTAGTCTGGTTGGTAGTTGGTGAGGTTAAGCTTGTTGCAAGCGTCAGATGTTAGGAGCAATTTATTAGTACACAAGGCAAATTTTCGCAAATGGACTGTTTGCTTGCGTGTGATTAATGTGTCCGACTGAGGGACATAAACACAATGGACTATCGGTGAAACGACTTATGTGTAGAATAGTCTTGTCTGCCAGTGTGACATTGACTAAGCTGAGGTCAAGTTTGGGGGCTGTAGTGCGTCTGTTTCTAGCGAGCTTGTCGCGGCCGTTGGGACTCAGGAGAAAAAACGAGCAGCCGCTGTCGGCTAGCCCGAAAGAGAACATTAAAACAATTGCTAGGTCAAAGCTAGGGGGCCGAAACACCAGAGGTTGGTCGAAATTAAATTGGTTCTGATATGCGTCTCAGCGGCAGCACGTCATTGGAAGGACCAACATCGCAACATCTGAAGTTTCTAATTACAGGTTTATCTGCGAGAGCCAGACGTAATCATCAGAAGAGCCGCACCTGGTTCGTGAGCCATAGGTTGCTGACCCCTGGGTTAGAGCATTGGAATTATAATCAACAGGTCGTGGATTCGAACTTCTGTGTTTGGATATAGATGGCTGAAGACGGCGTATAAACCAGCAATCGCCATCCTTGTTTCTCTTTTTAAATCGTATGGGCAGAAGAAAGTTAGAGAGAAAGGCGTGTGAGACTGAACTGGTTGTTTCTGGCTTACTAGCCGTCATCAGCCAGTCATATCCAATCCCAGATGTGTACCACCCGCGAGATACCTTTAATTGGGTATGACTGGCTAATGACGGCCAGTACGCTAGAAATAGGCGGAAGCAGATCAGGTTTCTGCCCAGGTGTCTTGACGCCAGAAATAGCCATTTCCATCTCTCTATTGCCCTTGTCAATATTCTTTTAAAGAGCTGAACTTTCAAAACCGGTATATCAAGCAGAAAGCACACATTGAAAGCTGGGGAACCCACTGATGAGCCGGACCCCTTGCAGCTTTGTGAAGCAGCGGCAGAATGCCGGCTAAACACTATCTGGGCCTCTTAGCTAGTACCTAGGCTGTTAGAATATTAAGCTACAAAAACAATTTATACTGCTAAAGTCTGTCTGTCGGCAGCGATTTCGCAGTGTTTGACGGGTTTCAAGCCAAATATACACTAACAATTTCGGTCTACGTCTAATGACCTTTAATAAACTGATATATACCGCGAACAGAAATTAATTTCTCAAGATAGTAAAATGCTGAACTTCAACTACCATCCGTGGGAGTACTTCTCAAGCATTTTAGAAAACGTATCAGACTGCAAACCTCTAACCGGGGTTCTGTAAAATAAATGTATTTCTCTCGTGAAAAGTTAAAGCCTCTTGTTTCATAAGAACATGAGTTGCCACTGCATGACCATAATTCATGTGGTTAGTAGGTACTCTTAAAGCATTGTTCCCTAGCTAGGAATTTAAAGCAAGCGTTTACAGTAGTATTTATTTGTGAAAAGAAAACATTTAGAGACAGCTTTTCAACTGCTGCCAGGCTTTGCATGAGATAGATAAGGAATAGAGTACACGGCAGTTTGAATTTGCACATAATCACTACACAACGGAAAGGTCATTTTTCAACGCGACGAATAGTCAGTACTAATGTTGCCTCTAAAACTGAGATGCAGGAAGAAAAAAACGAGGAAGGAACTTAACAAAAATCGAAGGATGATTGAATGTAGGCGTGCGATAACCAGGGCAGTTGGAGATTAGTCACATGATCTAACTGCTTAAATAGGTCGGGTAGGCCCACCAAGCTTCTGTGTGTCCTGCTCAGAACCACGCTTAAGGTTAGTCGTCCATGTGCCCGGAATCCTAGCTTTTGTGATAATGCTCTCGCTTATTTATAAGGCTTGGATTTGATCCGATCCCCAATGTTCGAACCACCACCCATTTTCAAGTTTTAAAAAGTCAAACTTCCGGATTAGATCCTGTTGCGCTCAAAAGAATTTGTTTGTTTGTTTGCTGACTTTGCGGACAGCTGGGCCGGCTGTCGTTTGTCGAACCGTATACTGACTTCATCGATCAACAAATCTAAAAGTTGTGGCTGTACCTACTGGTCATGGGCTGATCAATAGTTCTCCGTTCGTTGCTTGGCCC